TGGAAGATATATTTGTCGCATTTTTAGCCAAGAAAATTTGAAATTGACAGGTTCTGGGCAAAAATAGTTTTTTTTTTTAGTCAGAAAATTATTATGACAATATTGCTGTATCATATTTGATTACCAGATACAAAATTATATCCGGAAAAATTCCAAAAAGCAGAGACCATGGATGAAGCCAGTTCATTTTTAGTATGCAGGAACAAAATTCTAACAGAAAAACATTCATTTGAGCAGAAGACACAAAGCCAGATCATCTCTTTATAAAAATATCGCTTTTCAGACACAAAGTTTGGAGCGGGACGTTCCACAAGAATGACATCCACGGCGCCAATTTATAATTGTAACGAATAGTATTTGAATAAAAGCATTTAAACGGGTAAAACCCGGGCGTTGCCCTGGTCATTCAGCTAGTGAATTATATATTAAAAAAGCGGTATAGTTTCATTTTTTTGTCATTACATATACATAATATATAAGGGAAAAAGATAAAACTTAATGTGAAATATTATTTCCTGATAATCCGATTTAGCAATATTTATTTTAACAAGAGTTGAAAATATAATAATGAAACATATAATCTCACACTTTCTTAATAAGCCTGGCTGCTATTTTAGACCTGTTCGTAGAATGGACCGATGTTCTAATATTGTTATATGAGAACATTATTGACAATCATGATGCAACAATATTATCATCATATTTTCTGACTCCAAAATAAACAGATTAGTCTGATATTTGAATAGTTTCAAATTCTAGGGTCAAAATCATTTCATATCTATCTATCATTTTTCTATCACAAAATATTTAAATTTTATATTGGTTTAATTTTTGAATAAGTTTTGTACATCCTATATTTTAAACAGATTATTAATCTGAACATATACTCATGTTAGATTCATTATATTTTATTTGTAATTTTAATTGAAGAGGGTGAAAGTTGGCTTTATGAATTATTGTTTCATATACTATTGCTTCCTCTTTTTAATGAAACTCCAAACGCGTTTTAAAGTAACTACAGAATTTTATATAACAATAAAATATATTTTATGACAATAAGAAGTGTGCAGTGATGGAAGGCTGGTACATACCTCGGCCTTTCGCTGTCACCATCTGACCAGAGATGACATTCTGGGACACCTAACGGTGGGAAAACGCGGCCTGATACAACCTAATGTTGTATACCCTTGGATACTCAAAATTAGAACAGCCTCTCATAATATAAATATATAATAATAAATAAATAAAACCACATTCTTTAATTTACTTCAATAGAAAAAAGCGCCAAAAGGAAAATGGAAATATATATAATAAAACAAGTGATGAATAAATAAATAATTGAAGACGTATAAAGAATACGGAGCAACGTCTGCGCCGTGCAGAGCGCCTGGAGGCGAAGGCAAAGAACTTGATCAGTGGAGACGCTGCACCAGCAGTCGGGGCTGTTGAAGAGTAAGTTGATTTCAAATAAAATCCAAGTTCCCTTCACCACCGCAGTTTCAAATCTCCTATATATAATTCAAATAAATTTTGACTGGTGATAAAAGACGAATATAAAAATAAAGAATATGAAGAAGATATGTACTATATTTATGTATTTTGAAAATATAAATATAAATAAATAAATATATGTTGATAGAGGCGTTCTAAGTTCGAATCCAAGTAGTGCCGCGTTTTTTTTTATTTATTATTTAGAAAACTAACAAGGTTTATCTGATGACAAAAGCAAAATGCTAGTAAATATATTTCAATTATGAAGACAGAATGTTCCCGTGGTTAGTATTCCGTAGTGTCACACGATGTGAGTATACAACAAGGATGTTACATAAGATGTCTGACCTACATACCCCGCAGGGCAGGAGCACTTACACTATCTCGGAATTTGGAATTTAATTCTCGAACATTCAGAGTTATCCTCGTTTTCTTGGAGTCGTCAAACAGGATAAACCTTTTTTTTTAATTCTGAAATTATCACAGACTAATGTAGGTGGTAGCAAGGTTTTTGTGGTGAAATTAATAAAAATTGGAGATAATGTATTTTTATTATATGTGAGTTTAGGATTCAGCCTGTTTGATGACTCCAAGAAAGTGAGGGTATCTCTGAATGTTTGAGAAATAAATTACAAATCCCGAGACCCGCAAAGACCTAGTAGTCTGAAAAATGTACACTTAACTTGTTAATTGGACTGAGGGAGTGTTCCAAATCTCATACTTCTATGTATTCTGGAAGAGAGCATATTCAAAATTATATTTAGGAATTTGATAGAGGCAATTTTTAAGAAATTATCCTTTCCCGATAACCCTGAAAACCTCTTTATTTATATTTTATGCTGAAATAGTAAAATGCATATAAAAACCTTTTCATATGAATTATTAAAAAAAAAACAGGGTGTAGTTTCAGATTTCACCACATATATTGTGATAATAGATAAAACTTTATGTGAAACATTTTTTCCTGATGATATGATTTCGCACTATTTAAATTCAAGTAGAGTTAGAATATATATCAATGGAAAAAATATATACTCTCACATTTGCTTTATTTTATTAAGCTAAAACTTTGAAAGCCTTAGAACTGTCTTCCTATTTCAACCTGTTCTTGAATTGGGTTAACATTATATTATTATAAGAAAGCATTATCACCAATCATGATGTAGCAAATTTAGCTTTACATTTTCTGACTCAGAATAAGCAAGGTAGTCTGATATTTGAGGGTTTTTAAATTCTAGGGTCAAATTCCTTTCATATCTATAATTTTTCTTTAATAAAATATGTATATTTGATTTTGGGTTAATTATTTGATAAGTTTTATATATTTAAAACAGATTATTCATCTAAGCATATACTCATGTTAGATTCATAATATTTATTTGTCATATCAAATGAAAAAGTGTGAAAATTGCCTTCGTACTTTTGTTTTATATAGAGATATAAACTTCCTTCCCCTTATTATTGGTACTTCAGCCAGTTTAAAGTAACTACACATTTTTAATAAATATATTATACATTTTATTGCAATATAAAGTGTGCAGTGATGGAAGGCTGGTACATACCCTGGCCTGTCACTGTCACCATCTGACCAGAGATGACATTCTGGGACACCTAACGGTGGGAAAACGCGGTACGATACAACCTGATGTTCAATACATCATGCCTGATGTATCACCATAGACACTTGGATAATCAAAATTAGATCAGCGTCATAATAAATATAAAATATAAATATATAAATATAAATATAATATATAAATATAATAGAAAATAAATAAATATAATGAAAAATATATATAATAAATAAGACGACAATCTTGAATGCTACTTCAATAGAAAGAAGCATCAAAAGAAAAATGGAAATATATATAATAAATGAAGTAAGGAACTAATTGAAGACGTATCACCAAAGGTGGCGCATCAATAAAAGACAAATATGAAAATAAATAATATGAGGAAGATATAAAAATATATAAATATAAAAATAAATATATATATATATAAGTTATAAAAAAGGCGTTCTAAGTTCGATTCCAAGTAGTGCCGCGTTTTTTTTTTATTATTTATTATTTAGAAAAATTGTAATAATTGAGTGGCTCTAACCAGGTTTATCTAATGACAAAAGGAAAATGCTAGTAAATATATTCCAATTATGAATACACAATGTTCCTGTGGTTAGTACTCCGGGATGCCACACGCTATGCAACAAGGATGTTACATATATGTCTGACCTACATTCCCCGCAGAGCAGGAATACTTATAATATCCCGGAATTTGGATTTTAATTCTCAAACACTAAGAACTATCCTCGCTTTCTTGGAGTCTTCAAACAGACCAAATCATATAAACGCATTTTTTCATTATTATTAAAATTTTTCAGACTAATGTAGGTGGTAGTAAGTTTTCTTTTTTTGGGTGAAGTTTGTAAGAATTGAAGATGATTTATTTTTGTGTGTTATATGTGTATTATATGTGAGTTTAGAATTCAGCCTGTTTCACGATTCCAAGAAAGTGAGGGTATCTCTGAAATCCAAATCTAAAATTAAAATCCAAATTCCGAGATGATGTAAATGTCTGTGCACTGCGGGGAATGTAGGTCAGACATCTTATGTAGCATCTTTGTTCCATATCGTGTGACATCTTGTGTGATATCCCTGATTGCTAACCGCCGGTTCAAAATCACTTTATTAGGTACCGCTCAACAAGAGCCACCTAGTTTATGATAATTGAAACAGTGAATAATATGTGAATAACCTTCACATATTAAACAAAATGTTAACGCGGGATTCAATCCCGGTTCATGACTGTCGGGAATCTAGGGTTTTACCCACTCGTCCACCGACCTATGTATGATTACTAACCACCATTGATATTCTAACAGGACATAGAGTAAAAAAAAATATTTTTCTTGGCTAAAAATACGAAAATAAACTCTTCTGGATATAACTCACTGTACTGTTAAATTTGGGAGATAGTTTATTGTCGCATTTTTAGCCAAGAAAAGTAAAATTACTCCAGGTACTCTGTAAAAATATAGATTTTTAGTCAAAAAATGATGATGATAATATTGCTGTATCATCGTTGACTGTTAGAAAATATTTTCGGTGAATATTCCTTTAAGCAGACCAAGGCGAACTCAGATCGCCATTTTAAGTAGGCAGGACCAAAATATATTAGCAAAACATTCATTCGAGCAGAATACAGACGAGCCAGGTCATCTCTATATATGAAATATCTCTTCTCGGCCTGTTAACTAGGATCATAGTATTTCTCTCTATATATATGAGTCAAAATTTATTTATATATATTTGTATATATATAATTGCCTTATTCTGTCTGTGTGAAGTTCACGGATAGATTTTGGTCATCAACGCGCGCATCATCATCATGATCATTATCATTATCTAATGATAATTATTTATTTATTATATCTACTTATATAATTGCCTTATTCTGTCTGTGTGAAGTTCACGGATAGATTTTGGTCAGAATGGATAAAATAAAAAAAGTGTCAAGGGAGGGGAATCGAATCCGCTTACCGGGCAGATGCCATGACCACTAGGCTACCCTGGACATATTTTTCAGTTCATAAAGTTAATTATAGTATTTGAATTAAAACGTTTTTAAAATATATACGCACTCGGGTAAAACCCGGGCGTTGCCCGGGCCATTCGTCTAGTTTATATATAAAAATCAATGTTTGTATGTTTGTTTGTATGTCCGGTATACAAATTCGCAGTAGTTCACTAATTCAAACCAAAATTTCCATACATAGGTGAAAAAATACGGGGAAGACGATGGGCTATTTTAAAATATATATAAATCAATTATTAAAACTATATATTTTTTATCAAATATCCGTTAGGCAAACTCATTCAGGTTAAACCCAAACCGGGTACATCTGCTATATCTACTTATATATTTGCCTTATTCTGTCTGTTTGTTTGTCTGAAGCTCACGGATAGAATGCGCGCTCATTGGCTGCCAGGGAACACGTGTCCTCCCTACCCCCCTCTAGACAACCCTGTTATTCAAAAACCATACATCCAATCGCCATGAAATTCTGGGATATTATTAGGTATATCCCCGGAAAGGTTTTCGAAAAATAATTTCTTGAATATCTTGAATATCCTTAGAGTTATTTGCAGAATTGTAGATATAACTCGCAAGCAGCGCCGCCATTGCGACGACGGAGATAGGCTTAAGTTTGCTGCTCCACCCCTGTTGACCTTGGGTCATCGTGTGAGTCACAGCATGATGCAACAAAAACACTCTCTCTGGGGATTGCGGCGTCAACAACCTGTAAGTTTGCCTCTCTCATAAACCTGTCTATACAGACCACCCTGACTATAGCGACCACTCTAGACAACCCTGTTATCAGCTGCCTGTCTATACAGACCACCCTGTCTATAGCGGTCACCTTAGGCAACCCTGTTATCAGCAGTGTGATACATCCACCTGTCTATACAGACCACCCTGTCTATAGCGACCACTCTAGACAACCCTGTTATCAGCTGTGTGATACATCCAACTGTCTATACAGACCACCCTGTTAATAGCGACCACCCAAGTCAACGTTTTTAAAATATATTCGCACTCGGGTAAACCCCGGGCGTTGCCCGGGCCATTCGTCTAGTACTATATATGTGAACAATGATTGAAATTGACATGTAATACACTCCTAGAATACGGCGTACTTCAAGAGAGAGAGATTTGTACATGTATATATATTTGTCTTGTGTGATTATAAATTGGTAAATAAACTAGTGTTTTACGAACAAATCTTCAGAAAAGATAACTTATAAATTCTGTATATGACATAATAAAAATATGATTTTTATTATTCATTAATATAATTATAATTTAAATAATCATAGAATTAACACAGAGTTAATTCTTTAAAATCCTTAACAAAAGGAGTACAACCCAAGATGTTTTTTGTATATACTTAGATTATATATATAAAATTATATGTATGCAAACTTTTTGTTCTTAAACTATAATCATTAAAAAAAATACAATTTTGAATATAAAAGTTATCATTTCACTTCAATCCACGACTGCATGAATGAATTGGTAACGTACCTAAAATACATCTTTTTTATGACAACTTTTTAATAGTCGACAGGATGTATTTTAACCCTGTACGAGAAGAATTCCAATAGATTTCCAAGCCATATATTGCAACTAAGATATTTGGGAAAAGATATAGATAAAAGAATAGCAATTATGGAAGTCGAAACTTTAATTAAGAAATTAAAAAGGATAAAAAAAAAGTATAAAAGGCATTGAAGAAAATATCGAATCCATTGTGTCTATGGTAGATGTAAATGCAACGAAATGCAAACTAGAGTATGCAAATAATGATTTGATGAAAATGAGTGATATTTTCTTGCAGATACTTGAGGATGAGGATTTAAATGACGAAGTGGAAAATTGCATAGATAAGTGTATAAGATTAAAGTGTGAATTGGATTTAAGGCATAATGGGCAAGAAACATCTGAAAAAAAGTAAATTTACATGTTAAAATGCCTAAACTTGAATTGCCAACTTTCGATGGTGGATTAGAATCATGGCTTATTTAAGGATTTATTTTATTCTGCAATTGGTTCTAATTCACAAATACCGGAAATTGAAAAGTTACAATATTTGAAAGGCCAACTGAGAGGCGAAGCCCTAAGACTGGTCAACGCATTTCCAATTACAGCCGATAATTATGTTGAGGTTTGGCAAACCTTATTAACAAGATATGATAATCCAAAGGATCTGATTTTCACCCAAATAGATAATGCATTAAGATTACCAAAGTTAGCCGATGACAACCATAAGTCAATGTTTAAACTTCTAGATAGTTGCAACGAGATAGTAAGAACAGTGAAGGTATTAGGTTATCAAATCGATAGTTTATCTGATGTGTTTTTCGTCGAGATCATACAAGATAAGCTTGATAAAACCACAAGAAAACAGTGGGAATTGCAGAACAACCCAAGGGTTGTGCCTTCAATTAAGGATTTAATGGAATTTCTAGAAATTCGCGCAAAAAGCTTGCAGAATTTGCCAAATAAAGATGCAAATGTGGAGAAACATTCAATAAGAAGGGAATCACATAAGGAAATGGAGGAGTCATCTATTAAAAGGGAAACAGCCCCAAGAATGGAAGTACAACAAAAGCAATGGGGACATCCAGGTAGAAGCCCTATGGACTATAGTTCTAAAAGACGTCCTTGCCGAATTTGCCTGAACCGGGGACATGCCGGACGCTTCCATCCTGAGAATAGGTGCTGGTTTCGCGAGAGGGCCGTGCAAGCCCCCCCCGCTGCAAGCTTCATGTCCGTGCCGTCTCGATCCATGGACACCTTGACGCAGACAACAGCCCCTTCGAGCGAATGCCGACCAGCTCCGCCTCAACACTCCTGACGCCAAGGTCTGTATATAAATCTAAATGTGAATAATAACAGTATTGTAGCTCTCATGGATACTGGCTGTACCTTCTCTATAATTCCTCAACATATGATAGATAAGATTCAACCAAACTATGTTGTTTTTAATAATTTACCTCTTATTAAACAGACATCCGGTATGCTAAATATAAATTCAAAAATTAATGTTAATACAACTATAGGATTTATTACTAGAGATATTGATTTTTATTCCTCTGATATTAATTTGCCATATGTATTGCTTTCTTTACACCATATAAGATTATTTAAATTAGACATTGATTTTCAAAGTTTTACAATTACTCAATTTGGTAGAATTCTTAATGTTAATTACCATAACCCTAATAATAATAATAATTATACACATCATAATGTAATTCCTTTATTTAAATCTATTATTCCTCCTAATGAAAATGATTTTAGAAATTTTAATAGTGTAGAATTTGATGAAAAACTTTCACCATATGAAAAATCTGATTTAATTAAATTAATTAAGGAAAATAAGGAAGCGTTTGCTGCCCATAAAATGGATATAGGACATATTAAAGCAGATCCAATTAGAATTAAACTTACCTCACAAACACCTATTTCATTAAAGCCTTTTAGACCTTCCTTCTCGGACAACATTGAAATTAAAAGACAGATTGAAGAACTTTTAAAATATAATGTCATTAGACCATCTTATTCCTCCTATGCATCCCCTGCTATGTTGGTGAATAAGCGAAATGAAGGTAAAATTCGACTAGTAATAGACTACAGAAAATTAAATGATATAATAAAAAGAGATTCTGAGCCCATACCAAGAATAGATTCTATATTAGATAAGCTTTCAGAAGCTAATATCTTCACTACACTAGATCTTTTATCAGGTTATCACCATTTAGATATACACCCAGATGATAAAGAATACACAGCTTTTACTACCACTCACGGACTTTACGAATTTAATAAATTATCTTTTGGATTAAAAAATAGTCCAAGTCAATTCCAAAGAGTTTTAAGGCAAATTTTAAATAAATATGATGTTGATTTTTGCATGAATTACTTCGATGACTTCATTATATTTTCAAATAATTTTCAGGAACATTTGACCCATTTAAAAGTAATTTTAGATATTTGCATAAAGGAAAATATTAAGCTAAAACTAAGTAAATGTAAATTCGCTACTTATCAGATTTCTTTTCTAGGATATGAAATATCAAACCATCAATTTTCACCCAGCACTAATAATATAGAAACGATTAGAAAATTGAATTCCCCAAGGAATAAAAAGGATTTACAACGAGTTTTAGGATCTATTAACATTTACTCGAAATTTATCCCTAATTATGCTAAACTCAGACTCCCTTTGAATAATTTGTTGAAAAAAGATGTAAAATGGAAATGGGATGAAGAATGCGAAACCGCATTTTCTAAATTAAAAAATATGATAACCTCAAAACCTATATTAGCTATCTATAATCCCAAATATCCTATACACCTTTACACGGATGCTAGCCAAGAACAGATCGGATCTATCCTAAAACAAGAACAACCCGATGGGCTTTTAAAGCCAATAGCGTATAGAAGCCGTAGAATGACATCTTATGAATCAAACTATTGTGTAACTGAGCAAGAATGCCTTGCTATTATTGATGCTGTGGATTTCTTTTTACCCTACTTAGATGGCGTGCATTTCACCATCCATACAGACCATGCTTGTCTAAAGTATTTGAAGAACATAAAGAACCCAAAAGGACGATTATTTAGATGGAGCTTAAAGCTCTCAATGTTTGACTTTGAGATAAAACACATAAGAGGAACTGAAAATAAAGAAGCTGATTTTCTCAGCAGATACCCCATAGCTCATTTTGTTTCTGACCCAGAACTAAAACAAGCTCAATTTGATGATAACATCAATGATAGGAAATATACTAAATTTAATGGACTTTTAACAATAAAGAAAAAAGGATTAATCAAAAGTGTTGTTCCACCATCATTAAGAGAAAAAGTATTAATAAGAGCTCATCAAGATTACGGCCATATAGGAGTATCTAAAATGTTAAATATAATTTCCCCTATCTATTATTGGCCCTACCTAATTCAAGATATTTCTAATTATGTAAAACACTGTGAGGTGTGTCAACTCAATAA